GTGTGTGTGTGTGTGTGTGTGTGTGTGTGTGTGTGTGTGTGTGTGTGTGTGAAGAGAAGTAACAAATGAATGCTTCAAAATCAAAAGGACGAACTGGCGAATTATCGGATTAAAGTGACGACGGCGAGGGAAAAGGTGCTAAAGTATAAACAGAAAAAGGATGAACGAACACACTATAGACAGTTGAGAGGATGAATCTATAAAAGAATGGATTAACAAATGAGTGGATATATGGATGGATCTAAAATAAAGGCAAAAGGGCATAAAAAGGACCTGATCAGAGAGTTGTTAAGTGAGCGTGGTTTTAAAAAACTACGTACCATGATCTGAGAGGTCAACGGTCTCAATTTTCGAATCTTCTTCTGTAATGACGAGCTCATCCAAGAACAGGCCTGTTGAATGTGACGAGAACAAAGCATAACTCGGTGAGAACGTGTCGTCCTTTCACAAAACCATACACATCGTTGCACTTTTAATTATCATAATTCAGAAGCTGTTACAAAATCATCTATTTCAGAGAGCTAAGACTACTGCCCGATAAAAAAGAACAAGCCTACTTGAGTGATTTGAGCAGGTAAAATGTTTAAGAGAACTAATACTATAATCACAAAAATAGACCAATCATACAGACCTTTACAGAATGTGCAATCTCTCATTCATGAAATCTCATAATATGAATATCTACAGTATCTACAACCATTTTTTATCACTCCGGATTCCCTATTCAACCAGACTATTCAAATCGAAGTTTTAAAAAAATATATAAAGCCGCATTTACATAAGGACAACATGAACGACAGCAATAGATACAGTCAGTGACAACAACAATCCCATCGTCCAAGCTCTTACACACACACCACGTCATTATCACTTTCATTATCATCAGCAGCAGTATCATTAACATCATCATTATAATAATCATCCTCCTCATTTCCATCAAAACCACCTCCATCCCCACCACCATTGTCAAACAACAACAACAACCACATTAAAAGCAGCAGCAGCACAAAACACTACCGACAACAGCAACAACAACATTACCAACGCAACAACCACTTTCATCCCCAGCAACACCACCACCACCACCATAACAACAAGAAACAACAACAGCAATAACCACACAACAACAACAGCATCATCAACAATAACAACAACAACAACAACAACAACAACAACAACAACAACAACAACAACAGAAGCAGCAGCAACAACAACAATAACTTAAAACACGACCATCAACCTACTTTGTGGTCTTTCTCCAGTAGCACCCGCCTCCCCGTGTTCAGGGATGGGGTTCGGACACGACACGGGTCTTGCGGTGCCGTTTGGTGTGTTGTTCCTTCTCTTCCGGCTCCAGCGGCCGGACGGTGTGCGCTTCAGAGAGAAGCCGATGAACCTCAGCTTTCGTTTCTTCTCTTTCTTGCCTGTGGACGAGACAATGTTGGAGTCTTTAATGTTGTCTTTTTTCTTTAGGAGGGCGATGCCATACACTAGAGAAAATTGGAGCTGATTAAAACCTTGTGAGCTTCGGCAGTATCTGTCCCGTTTTGTACTAAGCACAGAGCTGAAACGTCGGGAGCAGATACATTATTTTGATCTTTGCCAAAAGGCCAAAAAGTCTTTAGTTCAGTATATAATTTTACCCAAGTAGACCTGATAGCATTCTGAAACAATCTCAACTCCCATGGAAGCATATAGTTTAAGCTGCCATTTATAGGCGATACAACACTCAGATATGGCAAAAGCTTTACTGACCATGATTAGGTACCTATTCCCACCTGGGTGAAGTGAGGAAAATTCTTTTTAAGTGCCTTTCCCATTGACACAACGTGGGGCTGCGGCTCGAACCCCTTAACCTGCAGCCTCTCTATTACGAATTCGGCAGCATAACATTAGCAGGATGTTTTAATGTACTCGTGCCGTCGAAAAATAGGATTAGAAAATTCAATGATTAAAAACAATTCTTAAAGTTCGAGCCGCGAGAGGGACATGATACATTGCGTTTATACAGCACATTACCACTAGAAAAAGAAGGTCTTTTTACCCCCAAGGCTGATAGGGAGACAACATCCCAGCAGACAAACCGAGATGATCGATTTAAAAAAAAAAAAGCCCCAATCGGGAATCGGAACTCGGGTCTCCTGTGAGTGACAACCAAGCACCTAACTGCTATACCGGAGACGTCGCTATTTTCACCTGGAAAGTGCAATGCCCTCACTGACCTGTAGTAGAAGAAGCGGAAGTAAGAGAAGTGGGTGTGATGGGGGTCTCAGTGTCCGCTGTGTCGTCGTGGTCCTCATGGACTTCGAAACTGCCATTGGTCTTGATGTCTCCGTTAGCTCGTGACGTAGACACTTGGGAGCCTTTCTCCTGGCCAGGCGTGTAGGAACGTCGCTTGGAAGAGCCTGTATGAGGGATATAAGTTTTGTTATGAAAAGATTCTCTTTTCCTAATTTTCTTTTTCTCTCTCGGGTTACTACTTTGTATTTGCAGCTGGGTTGGGAATTGTAGGGTGAAAGATACAGAAAAATTTGACAGAAAGCCAGCAAGATCTCTGGATATGATTTTACTAGAATTTATGAAATGTAAAAGACAACAAGTAAAAAAAATGATAAGAAGCATTATAAACGATCCACCACACCCCCTTTCCACGCAAAATGTAAGATCAACCAGCGGTAGATAGGTACCTCTAAAAACAAAGAAAGAAAGATATAAAAGAAGTCTTTTTTTTACCAACTAGCAACAGGTAATGGTCTGAATAGGCATATTGTGTGTATTGCTCTTTCGAGTATGTATCTCTATATAACTCTGAAGGTCTTGCAATTAAATTCCCGTATGTGGTTGAATGATGCATCTGATATGATATGCATTTTTTGCTAGCTTCACTTTTCGTGTCATGTTGAAATTTAATGAGAGTAATATATCATTTTAAATTTGTATGTATACCTGCATGTGTTTTACGGTCGTGTACAGTCAAGAAAAATTCATCCTGGGATTATAAAGTATTTTCTTACCTCATCTTATCTTATCTTATCTTATCTATCTTATCCTTATCTTATCATACCTTATCTTCTCTCTTTCTCTCTCTCACGGTCTCTCTAACACACACAGAGGCCCATACACACACACCCATACACACACCCATACACACATAGACAAAGCTTCTTTCTGTCTGTCTGTCTGTCTGTCTATATCTATATATCTCGCTCTCTCTCTCTTTCTTTATCTCTCGCTATCTCTCTCTCTCTCTCTCTCTCTCTCTGTTTTTCTGTAGCGCGCGTGACTCCACTCACTTTGTCCCATGGCTGTGACGTCACGGGCCGCTACACGAAATACTCTGCATCAATCTGAAAATAAAAAAAGAAACACAAGTTAAATTGTGATACTGAACAGAAAAAAAAGTGGGTCTTCCTGTTTAAATTCAAATGTAGGTACAAAAGAATGATATTGGAGCTTTAGTAAAGGATGTTTGTTTGGACCGAGAGGGTGCGTATGTGTTTGTGTGTGTGTGTGTGTATGTGTGTGTATGTGTGTGTGTGCGTTCGTGCGTGTTTGTGTGTTTGTGTGTGTATGTGTGTATGTGTATGTGTGTGCGTTCGTGCGTGTTTGTGTGTTTGTGTGTGTATGTGTGTGTGTTGAATGTTTGTTTATTTTTATTTTTATTTTTATTTTAT